GATTTCTTTAGTTCAAGGACCAAATCGGGGGTCCGTACAATAGTTCAGGGCCCAAAATGGGGATTTAACCAAATTTTTTCTTCAATTGAAATATGAGAGGTACAGATGTCCTGAGTGGAGTCATCAAAGATATGTAGTCACAAAAATCCTGTAAAATCAAATAATGTATATTAATTTGCAAAATAAATACAAATTATAATGAATTTTAAAGAAAATGGGAAACAATCTCTAGTTTGGAGTGTTGTAGTGCACATGCTCGAGGTTTGGAAAGAAACATGTCCTAGAACAACATAATCCTCTGATTAATAACTAAATTTAGAAAGGCAAGGGCCTAAGCTTGATTTTATCCTTCAAGGGATTTGAGATTTGTCTTTGAAACTTTTCCTCCTTAGTAAATATTTGGAGCTTACCCTTGGCAAGGGGTTGAAATCTTCCTTAGTTAGGACTTGAAACTATGAGAATTGTTGAAAGGCTTGAAGCTTGCTATTCCTCTCCTTTTCTCCTTCTTTGTTTGTCCTTCCTTTTTTCATTGAATGAATAGCCTAATTATAGCCAAAATAAGTTTGCCAAATGGCCTCAAATCCCCTTCACTTTAAGGATAATTCAGTCATTTCATAAAAATATTTATTTTAATTAAAGAAAAAATATTTCTTTAAAGATTTAGTACCCCAACTTCAAAGATTTTATTGGGGTAATTATATCTTAATTTTAACAAAATTTTTTAATGTCTACACCACCAACTATAATAGTTAACATATGCCTACATCTGCAAAAAGTAACCACTTTGATATCATTTAAAATAATCTAAGTCGAACCTTGTTACTAGACTAATGATGAGTTTAATTTTTATATGCATTTATCTACCCTTTTTGAGCCTAGAATTAAATTTTATGGGTTTTTTGGAACTTAGTTTCACATTTGTTTATATTAAATTCATTATTTGTGGGTGGAAATTAAGATAGGAATTAATTTTATAATAAGTGACAATTTGCACATGCTGTAGTAATTTAACCATATCTTTTTCTCTAGGTATCGGATTGAGATGATTCTTTAGGCGTTGGAAAGCTAAGAGGCAGAGCTACAATTGATGTTTTATGAGCTTAACCCAGTTCTAGCTGTATCAATACA